GGGACGGTGTGACGGTCTTGGGTGTATAGTTTATTAGAACTAAGATCTCCAGGTGTTGTTAGAATTTAGAGCTTAAGATGTTGACAGAACGTAGCTCTCCAGAGTCTTATAGAACTTAGTCCTCTAGAGGTTGATAGAACTTAACCCTCTAAAGGTTGACAGAAATGATCCTTCCAGAGCTTGAGAGAGCTTACAAGCCTCCTGAGGGAGAGGAAAGTTAGTCCTCCAGATGGAGATGGACCTCAAGGCCAACACCAAGGAGGAAGAGCAACTTTCCTCTGTGTTCTGAGCAAGCCTGGCTACATAGCAAGCCTGGCAACATACGTTATATTTACCCTCAAGTTGAGTGCATAGTGCACCGCACTCTCAATATTACCTCTCTTTCCTCTACTGCCTTTTGTCTAAATTTTCACATACTATAAACCAAAAAATGTACAAATATTTCTAGATCCATTGGAAGTGAGTGAAAAAGACAGTGTCGGGTTTACGGAATTACGGGATAATATATTGGTGTATTTATTATTATTAATTCAACCCGTCCTCTCAAAAAGAACGTCACTTTTCGCTGGTATGCGCACTATGGCCAAATTTGGACGTAATTTGAAATGAAATCGACTCACAAAAGTGACGTTCTGTTCCGTTTTCTGTTTGAGCCGTCCGGCGTACGCGCAGAGGTTATAAGAGGACACTTTAAATTTATTATTAGCCCGAAGTTGAACAAATACAAAACTCTGTGGACTCAGCCATGAATATTTCACATCATCCCTCAAGCCAACCACTCCAACGAACCCAACTTTGATCAGACTATTGTCAAATGAGTTGGGATTATATTATATTACTCAGTGTTCTAGACGCTGTGGAAGTGGGTGGACAAGCAGGAGGTAGATTGTGGAATGACAGAGCCCAAGTTGGGTTCATATGATGCATGTAAAGATATAGAAACAAGTAATAATGCCATAGTTGGGGAGACAACCTCGGAGCAAAGGATCAAAAGGTAATGGACTCTTATGTAAGGCGCCGTGAGGCCAGGAAGCACCAGGTGTGTACTAGAGGCACCACACCAGCACCAGGTGTGTACTAGAGGCACCACACCAGCACCAGGTGTGTACTAGAAGCACCACGCCAGCACCAGGTGTGTACTAGAGGCACCACACCAGCACCAGGTGTGTACTAGAGGCACCACACCGGGGAGAACAAGGCCTTATATACAAGGAGGCGTCGGGAAATGTGGAAAATTTTTAATGAAATATTTCCGTCAGATTAAGTTAATATGATCACTAAGTGAAGGTGCAGAGTTGGAGAGAGTAAGAGGGTCGGAGCGCCGGCCCTCTGGGTGGTGGTGGACCCAACAACCTTCAACAACCTGGGTATGGAAGGTTAACAATGGTGAGGAACAGTGCGGGGCACGTCAGGCCCGGGACACACCACCACGCTACAAGCCTCATATAATCACTGCCACACTGTCAAGTGTTCACCAGTATATTATCACGTTATATGACAAAGAGTGCTGGGAAGACGGGACACCACGAGCGTAGCTCTCATCCTGTAACTACACTTAGGTAATTACGCTTGTACTCACCTATCTCTTGTATACTCATCTAGTTGTATTTGTGGGGTATGAGGCACGGCTCTTGGGCCCCGCCTCTCTGTACTTAAGCATTGGTATTAGGTTCCAAATCTTTGGATGGAGCTTGCCTACACACTGAACCTCTTAGCCAGTTTCACATGTTCACTACTCTGACACTTAGTTCCTTACTATGGGTACTTAGTTCCCATCTCTGTCCCCTTGTTCGTTTACTATCCGTGCAAAACGGGTTTGCCCTATCATTTCACCTGAGAATTTTGCATGAGGCAATCATGTCTCCCCCATTTCATCTCTTCGAGTGACATGTGGTATAATTCCTTTAGTCTTTCCACTTAGCTCATACCTCCCAGCTCTGGAACTAGTCTGGTAACCTCTAAATTTTCTCCAGCTTCGCTTTTGTGTTTAGTGAGATAAGGATTCCGCGCTGGTGCCTCATATGCCAGAATTGGTCTGATCTCATATTCATCCTGTGAACGGTAGTTTATTGTGCACCGCATACTCATCAATATGAAAAATTCCTGAATATGAAAAAACAGAATTGGCCTAGTTAACAAAATAAGAAGTTAAGAGATAGTCCTCATTGTTTACCACTCAATATAACACGAGGAGCAAGAGTGGGCGGGGGTACCCGCTGGACAACACCACACACCAGGACGCACCAGTCTCCACAAGCACACGTGACAGTCAGGTGTGTGACTGACCTTCAATAGTAACCAGTCACAGTTGTACACAACATGTGTGTGTATAACCTTCAACACCTGACGTCATGACTCAGTGTTTGTACACTATACTCTGTGATAGATAACACAGCCACTAACACGGTCTTTAGCTAGGTGGGAGGAGACCCGTGAACGTACCACCATCACCGACTCACAACCCGATGGTTCCGAGTGCGATTCCCGGACAAGGCAACCCGTTTCCTTACGTCACCATTTGGTCACCATTTGGTCCGGGAGACATCTCCCGTCACGCGGGTGTTGTCGCACCACCACAGATCTCCAGTATCATCTATTGATACTGGTGATGGCTCAAAAGGGGCCACCATGTACGGGCTATTCATGCCTGTGCCACCTTTTGGGTGGCTTCATCTTCATCTTAATACATTAACAAGGGAGACATCTCCCGTCATGCTGGGTGCAGTCGCACCTCCACTGATCTCCAGTATCAGCTCTTGATACTGGTAATGGCTCAAAAGGGCCACCACTTACAGGCTATTCATGCCCGTGTCACTTTTGGGTGGCTTAATCTTCATCAATCAATTCCTTACGTCATGTACTGGTTCAGTAAATAGGTACTGAGGAGTTATGGGACTGTTGTGGGTTGCATCCTGGGTAACCACATGTTGGCCTAGTGTTACCTCTGTACCCTGTAGTGGACCCCATACCCATCCTGTGGGCGGTAGTGGACGCCCATACCCATGCTGTGAGCGGTAGTGGACCCCATACCTATCCTGTGGCCGGTGGTAGACACCCATACCTATCCTGTGGGCGGTAGTAGACACCCATACCTATCCTGTGGGCGGTAGTAGACACCCATACCTATCCTGTGGGCGGTAGTGGACCCCCATACCTATCCTGTGGGCGGTAGTGGACCCTCATACCCATCCTGTGGGCGGTAGTGGACCCCCATACCCATCCTGTGGGCGGTAGTGGACCCCCATACCCATCCTGTGGGCGGTAGTGGACCCCCATACCCATCCTGTGGGCGGTAGTGGACCCCCATACCCATCCTGTGGGCGGTAGTGGACCCCCATACCCATCCTGTGGGCGGTAGTGGACCCCCATACCCATCCTGTGGGCGGTAGTGGACCCCCATACCCATCCTGTGGGCGGTAGTGGTTTTGCATATTAATAGTTTTAGGCTTTGCACGTCATTTACCTATTAATCCTCCAGTGTACATGTATCTTATGTATGTATGTATGCCTGGAGGTACTCTTGCCTAAATAAAATATCATAATTATTATTATAGGTACAGATACTATGTTTATCAACAACGGGCTGGAGAACAATGACAAGTGAAGTGTTTAGGCTAAGGGACTCAAATTTGTGGTGAGCTAGTGTCATATTTTGACGTGTTTATCATACACACACTCCGCCCCTACACCCCCTTCCCTTCCCTGTGGATGTTGGTGGTGGTGGAAAGGTTATCATCATCATCCACATTTACAATTAGCAAATTGATGATATTTGGCTTAAATTTGTCATAGTAGATTTTTTAAATTAAATATTGACAAATGTCTTGTACATCTGTTTTCAAGCTGTCCTGAAATTTATTTTATCTTTTCGCCCTTCACTACATAGTGACGTGGGCGAGCCATTATTTTTGATAACATAGTTCACATTTGGTCAGGTATAAAGCCTATTATACACAGATCTTCACATTTGGTCAGGTATAAAGCCTATATACTCAGATCTTCACATTTGGTGAGGCCTACGTCAGTACCAGGCGATTTTAATACGTTCAAATCAACACAGCCTAGTTTAGATATGATAATTGGTGTTGTTTGGTAAACCATTTGTAAACCTTGGTGTACTGGAGCACCATACATAGGTGCCGTATGGGGCGACCAGCGAGGTGAAGCCTAGGATAGTGAATCACTTTAGGTACTTTACGAGATCACTGTAGGTACTATACAACACGTCAACGAGATTAAGTAGGAGTCCTATACAACGAGATGTGTTGTATAGTAACGCTTTGCGTAATAGTGGCTTTAGGCATTGTATGTACTAGCTCTATCTATAAAGCCAACAAACTTTGTAAAATCTCTTTATGTATGTACCTTTGCCTAAATAAAAATTATTATTATTATTATAGTACCTACAGTGATCTTGTTGATGTGTTGTATAGTACCTAAAGTACTAAACTGTGGAACGGAATTTAATTAAGTCTGTCCTAATCAGTCAGTGTCCAAATCTTCTCAATGTTAGTACTGGTATGTACAAACTTGACCCAGTTTTAAGTTACAATATTGCACAACAGTTGAAGAAAAAACTACGATAGGGAGGGTTAGAATGTCTCATAACAATATTATAATCATATGTGTGTGTTCAATGAGGCTTTTTCTTTCATCTTTTATACTAATCTCTTACCTCTTAATATATATATATATATATATATATATATATATATATATATATATATATATATATATATATATATATATATATATATATATATATATAAACAAACACTCAAGAACATCACTAATTAATAAAGTATTAACAATCGTTGTTCTAACGCTAATTATTTGAAAAGGTTAATGCAAAAATTTATGTTACAGAAAAAGCCCTAATACCTACAAGTAATTATGTCTGCGAGTCTTCATAATGTAAGTCTAATTACATCACACTTAACATTTATTAACATAATTAATAATGGTTGTGTTTATGGACCACGAGCCCAGGGGGGACTCACCAGTGTGTCCTCGCTGGTGACGACGGGAGGATGCTCGCTCTCCTCTCTTATCAATGCCTTTTCTGCCATGCTGCTCACACCGTTTCTATTCAACACAATCTTTTCTTATCTGCCTCTTGCTGAAGCTACAGAAACAAAGCTTTAAATATGCCGGGAAGAAAAGATGTCGTCAACGTTCCGTTTAGAGATAGTGAGGAGAGAGCACATGGCAAGATCGATGAGCCCGGCGTGTGTGCGCGTGTGTGGTGGGAGCAGCAGCATCCACCTCCTTTAACGCGTCGTGGGTGACTGCCAGACTAGCCAGCAGCAAGGTTGCCAGATCCAAATTGCTGAAAGTAGCGACCTGACGTTTAAAAGTAGCGAATTTGTAATTGAAGTAGCCCAATATCTTGTTTAGTAGCCGATATGGTTTTCAGAGCAATATATATTTTAATACATAAAGTAACATTGCATGATTGTATGAATATTATCACTGTATATATGTATATATAATAAAAAAGTGATAATTAAATAACACAAATATTTGCTGTATGAAGCATAATTACTTGGTAAATTATGTTTCACGCAGGAAATATTAGTATGTTTTCCAATTATCACTTTTTTTATTATATATGAGTGTGGAATCTCACCACGTCTTCACAATTGAAGACTATCAAGAAGAGCTTGTCCATCTGCTCCACAACCTTATTCTTGTATATTGCAGACTTACATGTTATCACTGACATGGGTGATGTCAAATGATGAGCAAGAAGTCTTTTTCTTCAAGATATGTTTTGACTCTTAAGATCGATGTCAAAAGCTATAGTCCCGTTCAATTTCTCGGTTTAGTTTTCCCAGACGTACGAAATACTTTATAAAATACTCGTTCACCCAGGGCATTACTGAGTGGTAAGCTGTATATTTTCCATGTAATCTCAGTCTCAGCAGCGTTCTTCACAGTTATTGTCTTGGTCCAAAGTGATGATCCAGATGTTGGAATTTGTCCCTCACAAGTGTTGGCGCAGTCACTTGTTAACAGTATACGACGCATACTTTCAATTTCACTAAGCTTAGACTGCTAATCTTAGGTCAGCTAGAACTAATGGAAGATCTGAAAATGGTGGCCGTGTGTGGCTAAGGCATATGCTAGATGACAGATTTGTCACTTATCGCTGGGTACTTAAGTGGTCACCAGAAGTGTTGACCTCTCCGCCTGCAGCCACCGACCCCACAGCACGCCCTCCTCCCTGGAGCCAATGCTCACACTGGCACACTTTATCAGGGGTGCCGTCATAGGCAGACCCCGGCGCCACTTCCTTCCTAACTACCGCGCTATAACTCCCCTTCTTGGGTGCTAACTTTGGGTACAGGTAACTGGTTAATCGCCCACAATTCCTCACGCACCCTCGTACATTGCTATGCTTTCGGCCTCTTCTACTCCGTTGTTTGTTGTTATAGATTCAGCTACTCGGAACAAGTTCCAAGTAGCACGGACTATGATGAGCCCGTAGTGGACTTACCTGGCACAGGAGCGGGACAAGTAACACGGGCTATGATGAGCCCATACTGTACTTAATTACTGGCACAGGAGCAGTGCTGTGTCGGTTGCCAAAAGTCGCCCAATTCGCTACTTTTAGCCCAATGTGGCAACACTGCGGCTGAGTTGCCGCTGAGTGTGGCCGCCGCCCCTCGCTCATCACCCGCACCTCCACATCCCCGGATTTAACTGGTTCACGAGGGCTTAATTACCCATAATTGCTTATCTAACGATGACTGCGGGAAGGTCTGACTCTCTATTCCCCCTCGTGTCTTGTACCCGTTGCGTTATAACTTAATATATATTGTAGTAATTTGTTGATATAAAACCTTGCTACAATCAATCTTTTCACTTTACCTTATATGCTAGATTAAGGACCTGCCCAAAACGCTATGCGTGTTAGTGGCTTTGCATGAATGTACAAATACCAATCTTAGGAAATCTCACCAACCCATTGTACCGTCTTGTGAATAAATTATTATTATTATTACTACTTATCTTTACTAATGTAAGAATTCCTTATTGAATCTGGGCATGAATGGATGTGGCTGCCAAGAATTCTTTCAGCCTTGGATCCGTACGGGGTATAAATGTTTACTAACCTTTCTTCGTCTTATAAACTTCCAACTAGCACCAATATGTCCTCTCCTTTCTCCCAGATTAAGAGTTTGTTGACCTTGGCTAGTCCTCTCAGTATCTCCCATGTTTTGATCACATCCCCTGTGTTTCTCTCTAGGATTGTCAGATTTAAACTATTTAGCTAATTCTACTGACGTTCTTATTTTTCGTGGTAAACAACAGAGCGAAGAACATCCACACTCTAAGGTCAACTAATTGTTGAATAATCAACTATAAAACGAATACGTCAGTGAAAAGCAGTGCCCAGGGAGCCGTAGCTAGCGTGAGTGTGTGTGGCAATGTTATGTCTGCTGCTGTGTGTGGACCTTCGCCAGGGTGTATAGTGACCATGCAGGGACCCTACCTTCGCCAGGTTGTTGTGATTAAGACACCCTCCCCTCATCAAGGTGTAGTGACTAGGGACCCTAGCTACGCTCGCTAGTGTGTTGTGACCAGGAACACTACCATGGCAAGGGTGTTGTGGCTAGAGACCATCCACCTCGACAATTTGTGATGAGCAGGGATTCCTCTCGTCGTTGGTGGGTTGGGAGCACTATATTTACGCTGATGGATCTGTTCAAATGTCAACATGACACACTGCAGCAGTCCGTAGACATTACTATATTTCTAGTAGAATATACAATGACAACACCAGATCATTACAATATGTACACGGACCACACGTTTGAGACTGAACAATTGGCAACACGTACACAATTAGCTTCACTGTAACTTGCCACTAAGGCACTGAAAAATGCCGGAGGAGTAATTTTCTGTGATTCAAAGTTAGCTCTTCAAGCAGTTGGAAGCCTAACATTAAAAAATACATATTAGGAATACAGTAACATGCATTATAATCAACATAAATAATTTACTGATGGGTACAAATTTCAGAATATCATTTGTATCGGTACCATTCCACATAGGTGTTGTCTAGCATGATGTTACAAAGAAGACAGCTAAAGCTGCATGTGATGAGCATGAAATTGAGCTAGACTTAGGTATTCCAATCTCTGTTGCATATGCCACACTATTTCAGGAAAAGAGGAATGAGAGAAGAGCAAAGGACAGGAAGCACGAGTATAAAGAGTTATGATAAGTTTAGAAAGGAGAACTATATGTACGGACACCACAAAACATCCACTAGACATTGTAACATTGTAATTGCCAGAAGTGGGCTAGGATATCGATACCTACGCCAGATGGCTGCAGGAAATTAATCCCCCAATGGTGAGCACTCCAACTGTAAACTATGTGAACAAGAGATAGGACACGCTCTAACACTATATCTGTGATTGCTCTGTTATCATTGATTTCAGATCAAATGACATGAGGTACTTTGAGCTCTGTAAGTACTTCATACACTCACGAATATTGGAAGATCTTATTGTGTTGTTCCCAGAGTTTGCTGGTGTAGACTCTTGCCTCACTAAGGTGTAGTGTCCAGGAGCCCCAACCCTCGCCAGGTGGTACTGACCAGGGACATGATGACCAGGGACCCTCCCCTCGCCAGGTTGTAGTGACCAGTGACAATATCCTCGCCAGGGTGTAGTAACCAGTGACAATATCCTCGCCAGGGGTGTAGTAACCAGTGGCTGTGTACTCCAGCATCTCACCCTAAGCCATGAGCCCCTACTCCAGTATTTCCCAAAACTAGGACGAGTCGCTCTTTATCCATAAACAGGCAGTTTCCTGTTAATTATTAATTTGTTCAATTGTTTGAAATTCAAAGAATTTTCTGATGCAACAGTCAAGTTAATTTTCTTGTTCTCTTAAGAACGTAACAATCAGTGTGGGGAATCTCCAGAGTGGCTTTTAGGCAACAATTACGCCAATTATTCCACTTATCCTCTTATGTTGACCTCAATTCTGAGAGCCTCACACGGCTGCCAGTACCTCAGTCTCAGAGGAATCACCTGCACGCCTACACATATAACTCTTTGTCAAAGCATTATATGACAAAGAGTACTGGGAAGACGGGACACCACGAGCGTAGCTTTCATCTAGGTGAAATAAAATAAATAAATAAATAAATAAATGTTTATTTAGGTAAGGTACATACATACAATAAATTTTTACAAAGATTGGTGGACTTATAGATAGAGCTAGTACATACAATGCCTAAAGCCACTATTACGCAAAGCGTTTCGGGCATGAAAAACTTAAATGACAAGCTTAATACTAATTGAGCATAAAGAGTAAAATGAAAACAAGAAATGAAAACAGCTAAAAAAGCAGCACAAATACAATTATGTCGACAAACAGCGCACTTAAAAAAAAAAGACATTGGTTGACAATAGAGGGGTAAGGTTGGTTACAGGGAATTTATTAGGTATAGCTTCGTTTTTATCTTAAACTGGTTGAGAGAGGTGCAGTCTTTAACATGGTTGGGAAGGTCATTCACATCACATCACATCACAGGAAAATCACATCAAGCTAGTGAGTACATTGAGGGGAGTACACCAAGGTGAGTACTTTTAGGGGGGTGCATCAAAGTCTGTCAACGAAACGCTACGCGTACTAGTGGCTGTACAAGAATGTACGAATTCTTGTATATATAAATAAATCCAGCAAATAAATAAATAAATAAATAAATAAATAAATGTGAACACATCAAAGTTCAACATTCTGCTTGTAACTCATTTTTTATATATGTACATTTACCTTACTATTTATTTATTGATTTATTTACTTGTTTATTTACTTGTTTATTTATTTATTTATTTACTTAACTATGTGGGGTACAACTAGGTGAGCACGGCACCCGCTGCATGGTGGCTCAACATGGCAACAGGTGGTTATGTTCGATTGGCTTATCTTAACTTAAGCTTAAGCTTATACTTGATACTGTTTATCAATTAATACCTGATAGTAACTAAGATTTACATGTATACTAAAATTAACTAGCATTTAAAGGTATATGAATTACTATAATTATTATATTTCATGAAATTCCATCAGTCTTTATCATGTTTTAGTATTGAGAATCTCAGGACACGTGTTCATGTAGGATGCAAGTAAGAAGCCTAAACTATTACATTGGAATTACAGTGATAATTTTTTTAACTAATCAAATCCATAGATAAACTTACATATTTTCTACAAGTTCATAGCGAAATATATAATAGGTTTTCTCTAATAAGATACTTGTGTAATACATCCACGAGTGAGTCCTCCATGTGGGGGGGGGGATGATTATCAACAAGGATGGCCGGACACCCGGAGACTAAGGCTCAGCCCACCAACTCTGTGGCCACAATATTTCATACAATGGAATATGGACCAGCTCTGGAGGATGATAAAGTAGCGCAAGTATGTGACTTGCTCGCCCATGCATTACCAGATCTTGACATAAGTGTTTAGATAGATTAATTGACATGTCTTCTTGATGGTAGATGCAGTTTGCATGAAGGGTTTATCCTCTCGATGACTGCACCAGTACAAATATTGGGAGACGCGTTAATGTTGACAATGACAAGATTTCAAATGTTGATTTGTGTAGATGGAGGAGCGGCGACTAAGCAGAGGCGATTGTTAGAGGGAGACTCTCCTCACTGTTGGGCAGGATGTCGTGCTAATGGCGTCAGCTGATCCATGGTGCTGCGACGGGGTATGGTCGTTTCCAACGTGAGACGATTCGACCAAGCTCGTTTTCTGTTTGGTAAAACCATAAATATTGTTATACTAGGTTGTATTAGCTTAGGTTAAGCTGTATTGGCCTAGTTGGGTTGAGCTAGGTTTGGTAAAGTAGGTTTCAAAATCCGCTGGCAATTCGTCTCGTGTACGATGTGACTTATATCCTCTGCAACAAAGCAGTTGTTGTCTATGTTTGGTGAGACTGCTGCTTTCCGGAGGGGTCCTTGGGTCATTTATTTATTTATATACAAGAAGGTACGTTGGGTTTATTAGAGATACAGATGTCATTGATGCTTGGTTGGTCTGGCCCGGGATACATCATGTGTTGTGTTCGGTTGCGGCTCTTCGCCATTGCCTGCGCACGCCTCGGTTTCTGTGGCTGGGGATGTGCTTTGGGTTCATCTGGTTTCCCTCGATCCCTGTTCCAGGGCTCGGGTTTCCCAGGTCGTCTGCAGCATTACGTCTATTCAGCCTGTGGTTTATCCTCGTGCCCATGACGTTTGGAAGTTTGCTGCTCGGGCTGCCGTCTTCGGCAATATGTCTTGAGCTGATATTCGGGCGCGGGGATTTTGGAGGTCGAACAGGGTCCTGGGTGCCCAGTTTGGTTAACGTTCCTAGGCCTGGGTGTTTGTATGTGTATTTGTGTTGCAGGTTGCAATCAGTTGTCTCGCCTTCGAGTTGAGGTGCGTTTGGCAGTTGCCTCCCAGGTAAGTCCCTCTTTTACATATCTTTGGTTATGTTGCTCCAAGGATCCAACGGGGGTCCACGCAGAAAACCAGCGTTGAATGTAATAAAACGCCATTTTCTGGGTGAGCCCCAGAGGCTCCCTGGCACCCTCCCTCCCTCCCTCTAGTTGGCAGTTTTCATGCTGTTTTGATGCATAGCCTCCAAACTGGAGGTTCTAGGTATCCGGCACGGAGAGTCCGGCGCTCCCCCTCCCCCTCCCACTCACGAGTGGCACGGTGTGATGTTTCCTTGGGAATTAAGGGAGTTCTGCTTCTCTGTTTGGTTTTGGTTGCAATTTTCATACCATGCAGGGTTTGTTTTGTTATGCCCACCTTTCTTGGTGCCTAACCCCAGTCGGTGGCAGATAAGGAAAACCCCTAACCACGGTGGGTTTACTAGGGCCATTGCTCTCTGTGGGGCCAGGTTCTGGCTCGTGGTCCCCGGTAGGCTGAACTCCATTGACTAATGCCCTGGTCTAATGTGTCGCATATTAGCCCGATAGCTCCAAGGAACCTCCAGGGCTCACTCAGAAAATGGCATTTCTTTACATTCAACGCAGATTTTTTGTACACAGCAGCTTTGTCACAATTAAGGCAGTGCTGTCCCATGATTAATGTACAGTACTGCAGTTTGTGTTATGAACATTGGTCAGCAGATGTCGTTTAGTAACCCAACAGCAAAACCCAGTAATCCGGATTTCTGTGAATTAAGTAGTCAAAAACTTGGACTTCATTTTGTCTTAATCACACAAAGGTCCGAGTTACAGAGATCCAAATTAACAAGCTCATAAAGCGCCGTCATTGATTGAAAGTGCATTTTTTTTAATTATACAGTCTGATGTATTTAAATATATTAGCATACTGTAGTCATTTTACTTCTATAAATCTACAGGCTTGGCTTGATGACCATGGTCGGAAATTTGGTCATTTCATTAACAACACTTGGGTTCATCCTGACGATCGGAAGACATACGAGACAAAGGATCCTTGCAGTGGGTCTGTTTTAGCATCAACCATTCAGGGTACTCAGGAGGATGTCAACCAAGCTGTTGCTGCAGCAAAAAAAGCCTTCAAGACTTGGAGTGCTCTATCAGGCCATGCAAGAGCTCGCTACTTGTACAGGTACTACATACACTATTATTAATAATATTTACACCTAGTAGGTTAGACTGCAGTACAGTGCATTATTATTATTATTATTATTTTTATTATTACTACAATATTGCATTACTGTATTATTAAATATTGGTGGTATTACAATTACTAGAAACTCTTGATGAGAATATCTTGGTTATATAATTTTTATATTATATATTTTGAGCCATATCAAACTTTCTCCTCATGGCAAGGTTCTGTTGTTACCAGGGACAGGATTGTAGGATTGTAGGCCCAGTTAGGAGAGAGTAAATTTCACACAGGTGCATTGATGGGCTTTCCAATTGTTCTGCTGGGTAATACTGATGTGAGCACTTCTTGGCATGGGAGAGACTGCCAAAGAGTGCTCTATATTGTTAGTCCACCTGCTCACTGTTCCCAGTCATCACCAGGCACCAACACTTGAATGTCAGCAGAGTGCCCAGACTGTATGCCTCACATTTCTCCTGACTGTTTCCCTGTGCGCTTTATTCAGGCTGAGATCAACACTATTCGGTTAAGTGACTTGTGTTTCCTTAGAAACTTGCTTAATTGTGTAGTCTGCTCATGGTGTTAGTGGACACTTTAACTGGGTGTGAATAATGGTCATTTTGTGTTTCTGGACTCTGTGGATGATCAATTTTAGTACTTTTTACTCAAGTGGTTATAGGAGTAGGTGCTTTCTGACTCTCGATAGAAGGCTGAGAGCTTTCCCTTCCCATAGCTCGTGGTAAACCTTTCCCTACAAGTAAGGCTTGTATGTAGCCACCAACTGGTTTACTCTTTGATCCCCAATTGCTGCTGGGTGAACTGTTATGGATTGGCTCCCAATCAATCCTCCTTGGATTTTGCCACAGGGTGAGTGTGTAATTACCCAAGTATATTTACAGGACGTGAACTACACTTGTAGTGTCCCGTATTCCTGGTATTCTTTGTCATTTGACGCTTTGAAACACCCAGTGGCTTGACTTCCTCCACCACCTCGCTTAACATTTTGGCATTCTGCTAATGCTCTCCTTTGGCATCCTGCTGAGAGAAAATAGGACAAAACAACATATGTATGAGCTGGAAATGCAAATAAGCTGAAGAAATATATGGAAATAAGGATACACTGGTCACAAAGTGGAATGTACTGAAAATAGTTTTAAAAGCCACCTCCATCCACAACTTTAAGACTAGATATTACAATGAATTTCAACATCAGTAAAGTAAAAAAATGCAGTGTGTGTGTGTGTGTGTGTAAGAAGGATAGCAGGTGGAGAATACAGAGTAAAGCATCATTGTCAGTGTTAGGTAAGCACTACGTCCCCAGCCCTGCCTCACCTCCATCCATTATGTGCCCTCATGCTCAATACACATCTAATTGTATTTACAGGGCTGAGCTTCAGCTCTTTGGTCCAGACTTTCGGTGTAAGTTTTAAGTAGGATATCTTAAATGTGTTGTAGTGTAATATATTTTCTAGTATCCAGTGTCAGCTGGTTACTAGATACATATACAAACCTGACATTGAATTATACTGCATTCAAATAATGTGACATGACTCCAATAACAGGGTCTGTGTTTTGTGACAAAAAGGTTAGTCAGGGGGAATAGGATGGGAAGCATAGGAGATTGCTTGGGGGTAAATGTTGGTGCTGTGATTTTCCCTTTTTTATGCAAAGTGCAGATTGGGCTTATTCAGAAACCTGAATTACTAGTACTGTATGTGCAAATCTGGATAGGGACCATAAAGATGTACAGTAGTTTAAATTTTGGAGGATATACTGTCAATTTTGATGACCTTTGTTTTTCAGTATTGCCCGTCATGTTCAGAAGCAGGCTCGTCTACTGGCCGTGTTGGAATCCATGGACAATGGGAAGACCATTCGAGAAACACGAGACTGTGATGTACCCTTAGTTGCACGACACCTTTACTACCATGCTGGCTGGGCTCAGTTGATGGACTCGGAGATGGTTGGCTGGAAGTCAGTTGGTGGGTCCACTTGCTTAGATTTAATAAAGTATTAAGTGGCATCACATATATTTAAAAAAAAAAATAGTTTTTAACATTACTGTATAGAAGAGATTGCCCCAAAAATTAATCATATGTCTTAACAAATTTGTTAAATAATGATTCTATTTAAGGCAAAATCTTGAAGACTGCATACATGTCAGGTTCTTGTCCAATCCGTCCTCCTAATAGTATATCACATTTTGACATACTGTATCCATTACCTTTGACTTTATATTTATAATACTTCAGTTTTTGTCCTTGTGTAATTACCCAGGTGCAATTACCTGAGACCGAAAACTGATGTACTAAAAATGGTAGCGGCTTGCAAAATTGACATGTCCCATTTTCTGTTGGTGGGTCCTCAGGTAGGTTAGGTTCAGGCACTTTAAACTCTGTGATGCACCGCGTTTATTGTGAAATTCTCCCTGTGCGTCGAAAATCAAGTGTTCACAAACTTTTTCTTTGTAAAATGATAGATTCCCTTCCCTCAACATGTACATGTAAAAAAAAAAAAAAAAAAAAAAAATCGGTCATCAGGGGCTGGTCACCCGTGTGTGAAGCTCCCTGATGCGGTCATGCGGGCCATTCAAGCCTCGCGAGTTGCCACAAATATATTTACAAATAATATTGCTATGTATATTCAATGCTTTATAATGATTTTTTTGTATCGTATCTGATACATACATGTGTCCTTTACAATATTTATACAGTACTGTAGAATGTTCATAATGTTCCATAGAATTGTGATACATGTGTCAGTAATGTCCATAATTAATGTATTGTATATTGTTGCCATATTACTTGTTCAAAATTCACTAATATTACATTATGTACAGTTTCCACACACTACACAGTAACACACTGTATTACACACTCGGTACTTCGGAAGTGAGTGATAACCAAAGAAGCAGTCCATGGTACACAGCGCGACTTTGCTCTCGATGCACCACAAACAAACAGATTTTCGCTTCCTGTTTCTTCATTCTGTGTGCTTGCAAATAACACATTCATGTACACTCTTGGCTTTAGTACCTGTAGATGGTATGTAGCCAAGCTTGTGAAGTGTAAGATAGTCTTGAGAAGATTATAGGAAAAGATGGATTTGTAACGTAGTCTTGAAAAGATCGCTTTGTAAGGTATTCTGGAAAAGATTCAGCTATTCTTGAAAAGATTGATGGAAAACACCACCATGGAAGCCGCTAACACTATCCATCTATGCTACTTTTATCAGATGCATCATCACTGAACCCAGAAAAGGATTCATCTATGTATCATCTATAAAAATTGGAGATAACACGGGTGAGCATAGGTGGCGTTCAGCTACTACTGGACTCGCTGTATTGTCTTCACCGGTGCTGTATCACTTGCATCCGACCCTTGTGTTAGGTCTTTATTGTGCTTTGGCATCCTGCATCTCTTTGGCATTTTGCTGAGAGAAAATAGGATAAAACAACAAAGATAGAAGCTGGAAGTGCAAATAAGCTGAAGAAATATAAGGAAATAAGGATACACTGGTCACAAATGCTCACAAATGCATCATATTAACTTTTGAGTTCATATAATGCAAATTTGGATTGATTGCTTAGAACCCATTTTTCATATGGGTTCTCTTCCCACCCATAGAGTAGGGAACAACACAATTTGAATGGGTACTTGTCCTTCTGAGTCAAGTCACTCGTAGCCTATCACAATACCCATATATAAAAACAAAAACCAATACCCAAGTCGTGTGTAGGTCCAGAGGTGAGATAAAAGTAAGCTAACAAGTTGCCACTCATAAAAGGGCACTTCATTTTACTCAGTATAGTTACTCATATTTTTTTCTTTTCTCTGTTCTGATTTTTTTTTATTTAATTCTGCAGTGTAACGATTAAGTGCAAGATAGCATTGTAATTACTTAGGTGTTTATTTTTCTATTAGGAGTGGTTGGTGCAATTGTCCCATGGAATTTCCCATTAATGCTGCTGGCATGGAAGGTGTGTCCTGCTCTGGCGATGGGTAATACAGTTGTCTTGAAGCCAGCTACCAATACCCGTTTATCGGCTCTCCTCTTTGCCGAGATCTGTGCTGAGGCTGGGTACGTAAATTCTATTTCACGGGAAGATTTTACCATGTGTCTGAAGAGATGTGCAGACACAATGTTAAGGCTTTTAATAAGGAAATATTAATTTATTTTTATTCTGAATTCAATACCCGGTCAGAGTGAGATGAATGAACATGTTAGTTTGAACCTGATGCCTCTGTTCACCAAGCAGAAGTTGGTGAAGGTATGGTGAAGGTATACATTAGACCAGAAGGTATGGCAGAAAGTGCAAAATACCCCTGTTGAAAATCAGAGGTACAATAGGTATGCTGAGAGAGAACTATCAACATCACAGGCCCAGGACTTTTCAACATTCTCTCTAAACATAAGGGGCATAATTGGCCAACCTCTCATGTCATTCAAAAGAAAACTTGATAAACACCTCCAAAGGATACCTGATTAATATGGCTGAGATTCATACATCAGGGTGTTAGCAGCCAGATCTAGCAAGCCTGGTTGACCAGACTACCAACCAGGAGGCCTGGTCAGAGACCGGGCCGTGGGGACGTTGATATTCGGAACCAGTGCAAGTAACCACAGGTAACTGTAAGGAATATGGAGAGAGCGAGGGAGGAAACTGTTATTTACATTGTAAAAATTGCTGTGAAAGTTGTTTCTTTATATATTTTATCATGAGAGGGCAAATATTATTAATTTTAAAGATGTTTTAATATTGTTTGTATTGAAATCCCTTCCTTAACCATGAATGATAACAATATACTGTAACTAGTTAAGAGATTACCCACTGGCTGTCGATTCTAGAATGTGAACATTAGTAAAGATATTGAATGTTTATTCTATGTAATTTTGAATATGTATTCATCATTTTAGCTGTGCTTGTACCTTTTTCTATTTTATCACTTCTCCAGAGAGTATAATCTCTGAAGACTGTGTGTTTGTGCAGTAATAGATTGCAGTGTGTATTGGACTAATAATTTATGTTGGATAATTCTTAGGCTACCTGCTGGAGTGTTTAATGTGATAACTGGTGGAGGCGCAATGGGTTCCATGCTTGCAACTCATCCAGATGTTGATAAAGTGGGATTTACCGGCTCTACTGATGTTGGCCAGGTCCTGAGGAGAGCCACTGCAGGCACTGGAAAGAAACTCTCACTTGGTTAGTATTTAAGGTGTTGATGGATTTTTTTTGTTTATCTCCTAGAACAACCCAAAATATTTTTGCGAAAATTTAGGGTCAGTTAAAAGTCCTAAGCATGCTTTTCTAGACATCTCTCCCTCAGCATAGGAGAGTGCATATACAGTACATATGCTGTAGTCACTGATAGGTAATTTAATTTAATTTAATTCATTGTGTTAAGGACAGGCAGCCAGTGTATATATACATGTTAGGCTTATATTGAGGTCTCCTCCCTCTTGTCCAACAAGAAGCTGACTAACTCTTGGATGCCTCGTTACTTCTAGGTGGAATTGTTTCTCCAGGGCTCTTTTTCTTGTTGGCATTGGCCTCTTGGGGGTCAGGTCAGGGAGCTTCATGCTCTCCTTCAGTGCAGGGGCTTCTGCTCTTTCAGTCCTGGTGGTAGGTTTGTTCGTTTGCAGCGGTCTCCTTCTTTTCTGGTGTAGAATTATACGGCTGCTTTCTGGGGGTCCTTGGGTTGTTGATGCATGGTAGGTTAAGCCGGGTGTGCATCATGTGTTGTCATCATCATCATCAGCTCCGGAAAGCCAAAGGGGCTCCCCCCAGAAAACAACCGTTGAATGTAATGAAACGCAAGTTTCTGGGTGCGACCAGGAGGCTTCCCGGCATCCCTCCCTCACTCTGGATGGCAGTTTTTTGTGTTTTTGACATCCAGCCTCAGACCTGGGGTGTCGATAGCCAGGGTGGGAGTCTGGGGTCCTCCCTTTCCTTTCCCGGAAAGAGGGGACCTGCACAGACAGTGGTGCGATGACATGGTGATGTCGTGCTCGTTTGCTTATTTCATTTGGGGAGTTCTGTCCACTAGTTTGGCTTTCAGTAGCACTTAATTAACCAGAATAGGGGTTTGTTTTGGGGTGCTTACCTTTCTGGGTGCCTGACCCAGTCGATGGCAGACATAGAATGCTTCCAACCACACGGGGGGTTTCTATAGGCCATTGCTCCTTGTGCCTCTCTGAGGGGGGCCAGGTCTTGGCTCGTGGTCCACAGTAGGCCTAGAACTCCATTCACTTAGACTGATGCCAGGGTTTAATACATTCATATCAGCCCAGTTAGCTCCAGGAAGCCTCCAGGTTTCACCCAGAAATTGGCGTTTCATTACATTCAATGCTGGTTTTTGCAGTGTTTTGAAAGAAAAACTGTAAAGGATTAAAAAAAAATGTATATGCAGTTGAAATGTATCTTATTGAATACAAATCTATTGTATAATGTTTAAATTTTATTTGCCATTGTAGATGACTGAAGGTTTTCACTGTAAAGAAATATTTCACACAAGATTACTCTCATTTCTTTTCTCTGCGCAGAACTTGGAGGGAAGAGCCCTGTAATTGTGTTTGACTCTGCAGACCTAGACTCAGCAGTTGAGGGCATTGTTGACGCCATCTGGTTCAATCAAGGGCAGGTAACTAATATGATATAAAATCTTTTAATGTAAGTATAGATATATATAAATGAAGATTTAGGTACAGTATTGAATTAAAATAAGCTTCAGTATACCAAAATATTAAACAAAATATAGCTTTACTTGTAAATGAAAAGCTCCTTTTTGGTCAAGGCTTTCAGCTGCTCTGATAAGAAAAGTCCTGGTGTTCCTGCAAACAGGGCTATGCACGGTTATAACAGGTGGGTACATTGTACTAGAGCAGCTGTAATGGCTAGGTGATGTAATGGGGAATGGGAGGAAATGAGAGTAAGGGGAGTTAATGAGAGTTAGAGAGGTACGGGAATGGATCACCAAAGGGAAACAGGTATAAGGGAGAAAGGAGGATAATGGGATAAAGGGAGAAAGGATCAGCAGGAAAGGGATATAGAATAAGAATGAAGGGGTAAAGGGGTAGAAGATGTTATCATTCATTTTATAAATAAAATGAAGTTGTCTTTCAACCTGTTATCTCTATGCAATGATAATATGAAAATCATAATCACATTATTCAGTGAATGCCCTTCACTCCTGGACATCATTAACTGGATTTTAAAGTAAGCACATATCATCTTTCATTCAAAGGCAAGTGTACAGTACCATTAATAGTTGATATTTTTCTAATTACATTCTTGTGCAGCCACTAGCATGTGTAGTATTTCGGGCAAGTCCTTAATCTTATGTTCCCCTGAATACGACCCGCCAAATCATTTAACAACCAGGTACCCACTTTACTGTTGGGTAAACAGGGGCTACAGTTATGGCTTGATGCCCAGTAAATCCTCCCTGGCCAGGATATGAACCCCATGACAAATCGCTCACGAAATTCCAGGCGAGTGTCTTGTCACTACTCCACACTACTTTACATTTATAAATATTAGTCAAAGATACGAACATGAGTGAACTCACAGAAATCAGAGATGTTACCCGACTGAAACTGTATCCCTGATAGTTACAAACATCAACACAACAATACATCACCTTGCACCCATAACTCACCAAGGGTTCCTAGCTAGGCTTCTCGGAAAATCTGGACTCTCTGACAGGAAGACTCCTGTGGGAGACTACTGGGTAGCTCTCTGAGGGAGGCTACTCTATCTGGATGTGTAATTACATGTACTCACATAATTGTACTCACCTAGTTGTGCTTGTGGGGGTTGTGCTTTGGCTCTTTGGTCCTGCTTCTCAACTGTCAATCAACTGGTGTAGAGATTTCTGAGCCTATTGGGCTCTATCATATCTATATTTGAAACTGTGTATTGAATCTGCCTCCACCACATCACTGCCTAATGCATTCCATTTGTTAATTACCCTGACATTGAAAAAATTCTTTCTAATGTGTCTGTGGCTGATTTGCATACTCAATTTCCACCTGTGTTTCCTTGTTTGTGTTAACCCATGCTAAGTAGTTTCTTTACCCACCCTGTCAATTCTTCTGAGAATTTTGTAGGTGATAATCATGTCTCTCCTTACTCTTGTCTATCAAGGACATGAGGTTTAGCTCCCGTAGCCTTTCCTCGTAACTCGTACCTCTCAGTTCTGGAACTAGTCTAGTGGCATACCTCTGAATCTTCTCTAATTTTGTTTTGTGTTCAACTAGGTATGGACTCCAGCTTGGAGCTGCATACTCCAGGATTGGTCTGACATAAGGGGTATAAAAGTTCTGAATGTTTTTTTCACAAATTTCTAAACTCGGTTCTTATGTTGGCCAATCTAGCATACGCCGTTGATATTCTTTTCATGTGGGGACAGGTTCGGTGTGATATTAACCCCCAGATCTTTCTAATTGACTCGTGCAGGATTTCACCTCCCAGATGGTACCTTGTGTTCGGCCTCTTGCACTGCATGTCCGTGTTTTTAAACTGCTTTGCTATTTAGCTGAAAGCTAGGGAGCCAAGTTCCACCCAGTGAGGTAGCCTAAGGTTATCAAATGTTCAGTATGGCAAACAAAGGTTTCACAGTTGGTCAGTTACCATAAAGCAAGGCATTACATGTGACCTCACTCCAGTTATAAGATTAGCAGATCATAGTATCTGACTTGGTCTTTAAATGTTGACCACAAGACCTGACCTCTTGGGTTAAGATGCAACTTAGTACATTGAAGGTGTGATCTTTTGACAGACTGGTAACAAAATATGACTCGACTCTGTATATTTATAACTAAAAGCCAATTATGGTGTTACACAGTGGGGATCATTTCAAACACACTAAGCAGGTCATATTGTTACAAGGGAGAGAGGGAAGCCATCCTGGAGCCACAGACCAACTCCAACCACATCAACGACCAGAAAAGAGGCAACCGAGACTTTTGTAATTCAGACAAGTCTGCCAGCAATGCCTGATTTTACATGAGAATTTTTATGAAATGTTTCCAAAAGATACCAGCTCTTTCCGACTGTTCATTTCTGTATTGTACTATTAAATTGACTGCTATATTATTTATACTTTCTCTCTTGGTTTGCTCTCTCTACCTTATTTTTGCTCATAACTTGACATGTATAAGAATTGAATAATTTGTTGGGGAAGAAGAGTAGATATTCCATACACTAGAATTAGACATAAAATAAATCAAAGTTCTTTAGTCCAAAGCTTTACAGGTATAAAAGTTACAACCATAAATGTTGGCATTTCAGGTTTGCTCTGCTGGTTCACGCCTCCTGGTTCAAGAGCCTGTGTTTGATAGGTTTATTGAAAAAGTAAAGCAGCGTATGAAGACACTGAGGATGGGTTCATCATTAGACAAAACCATGGATATGGGAGCCATCATTGATCCAACACAGCATAAATTTATTGCCGAGTATGTTAATTATGCTCGTAAGGAAGGAGCAGAGGTAAATTTTAGTAATATTGTTTTTTCTTCAGCCATTATAACCCTTTGTTATTTATAGTTGATTCTTTTATATAATTCCTCATATTGCAGACACACTTGATAGTTTTTTTTGTAAGGTGTAAAATATAAATTGTCTCATTGTTTTTCCTTTGCCCCTCTCTCTTCACATGCATAATTTCTCTCACTTGCCTTCCTGTATATTTCAGACTTCCTTTCCTCCTCTTACCTCAGAATTCACTTCAATCTGTACAACTAGATCTCTTAACCCACATACTGTACATGAAATGAAAATTATGTAATTTTGGTCCATCCTGAAGGGTTATGAAGTCAAAACTAAGCAAGAAAGCGGTGGAAGCCATTATAAGGCAGGACAGGAAGTGAAGGGAATACACTTTTCTCACTATGATATTGTTCATTTGTTTGCCATTACCATAAGATATTTTGTTAAATTCAGTCAGTTCAGATCCAGAGTTGTATGGGTAAAGTTTTGGTACCCAGATTGGTGCTGGAGGTTTGTGCAACTGAGTTATTACTTTAGTGTTCATTGGTCAAATACCACATCTGGCCTTGGGAATTCGTGCAATGATATGTTGTTTGATACAATAATAATGATTGTTATATGAACTGTATTTCTTAGTTGACATTCTTCAAATGCTCCGTGAAACCAAGGAATTACAGTCCACTAATGACCTGACCTCTTGCCCAATAAGTCTCTTTGCAAATGGGCTTGTCAATAAAATTAATGGGTAAGGGAGATATTGATAAGTCTAACTCAAGCAATCACCAAGGAACCAGCTCACTATGACCTGAAAATCAGCCATATATTCAGCGACCTCTATTAGTGTTACAGTAATAAGAAATATGCAGTAAGGTCAATTAGGGCCAATCTATGCTAATTAGCAATCTGTGAACTAGCATTACAAGTTGTGTCACTCTCCACTGTCACCAAGGTCGCAGCACCATGCACAACAGTATTATGTAAGCTGGCACTGCAGCACTCTTGCTACCCTTGAAATGGTTGTCACAGCATCCATGCTCTAGAGTTCGATTCCAGTGGGTATAACTAGATTATTGTGTCACCGACTACAGTTATCCGCTAAAACTTTGTTTGTCATGTTCCTGGGTATACTTATTACCGTATATTTTGGCAGATAAGATGACACTTGAATAGTCAAAAAGAGCACCCAAAACCAAAGGTTGTCTTATAGACCAGGGGCCAGATTCACAAAGAAGTTACACAAGCACTTACGAACCTGTACATCTTGCCTCAATCTTTGACGGCTTTGTTTACAATTATTAAACCGTTAATGAGCTCCGAAGCACCAGGAGGCTGTTTATAACAATAACAGCAGTTGATTGGGACATTTTCATGCTTGTAAACTGTTTAATAAATGTAACCAAAGCAGTCAAAGATTGAGGAAAGATCTACACTTTCGTAAGTACTTGCATAACTGCTTCGTGAATCAGCACTTTGTAACGTGCTTCGGGAGAGGGGGGGGGGGCTTTGCAGATGAGCAGCGCGGTAGTGAAGTGTGATGTTTGCTCGTTTGCTTGTTTCCTTGAGATTGGAGGGAGTTCTACCTCTCTCTTTCAGTTCTTAGTTGTCATTTTCTTAACATGTTGGGTTTGTTTTGTTATGCCTACTTTCTGGGTGCCTAACACTGGTCGATGGCAGATAAGGAAACCCCCCAACCACATGGGGCTTTTTCAGGGCTATGGCTCCCTGTAACCTCTCTGAAAGGGTCAGGTTCTGGCTCTTGGTCCCTGGTAGGTTGAACTCCATAGCTAATGCCCTGGTCTAATATGTCACACATTAGCCCGATAGCTCCAAGGAGCCTCTGGGGCTTGCCCAGAAATTAGCTTTTCATTACATTCAATGCTGGTTTTATTATAATACTCCCTTTATTTTCTTTCATTCCCCTTTATTTTGCATCTGGAGAATCTTTTCTTGTCATGAGCTGATCTTACCACTTGGTCATTCCACCAAGCTCTTCCTCACACTCTTATACCAGTTTGTGCTGTCCCACACACCAGCTTAATATTCCTAACCAGATTTTTCATGTATTCTGATTTTTTGCCAGGTATTTCAAGTTGATGCTCCTTCAGGATGTTTCTATCCGCCAACCTTAATCACCGGTGTGGGCACTACATCTTGTACTGTCATGGAGGAGATATTTGGCCCTGTTCTTTGTGCCATGCCATTTAGGTGAGTTTTGTGAAGTAAAATGTTTGTACTGAACAGTACAAGTGAACCTTATTGAATTCAGAAACTGTATAGGCTTAAACTGTACTTCATGCACACAAAAAACCAGCATTAAATGTAATGAACTGCCCTTTTCCTGGATGAGCCCTAGTGGCTACCCAAAGCTCTGTCTCTGATGTAGTTTCCAAATACTTAGTCACACCAGTCATAGATGTTCTGTTGGCCTACTGGAGACCAAATCCAAAACCTAGTTCCCCCTCAAAGAGGCAGAGAGAGCATGGACTTGTTATAATCACTCTCTCCATTAAAGCGCCCAGATAGCAGACATGGCATTACAGACAACTGCGTTGTTCATGAAAATGAAGCAGCGAAACATCCAACATACATCACAAAAGAATCCCTCAAAATGAAATGGTTCATACAAAACTGAGTCTGAAACACCTGCAGTGTGCATGCACAAAGCTGCCAACTGGCAACATCCCAGGTAAGCCAGCATCCTGCACTCGGTCCGATGCAGATGGGCCATTAACCAACACACCTGGTAACTGGGGTGGGGAAGGGAGTCAAGGAGCCACTGGAGCTCACCCAGAGAGGGGGATTTCATTACATTCAGTGGTAGCTTTCTAGGGGAGGCCCTGGTGGCTCCATGAAGCTAATGAATAACAGAGAAGAAGAAATAAATGGGAATATACAGGAAGGAGGAGAGATTGGCAGCTACAAAAGTTGAATAAGAAACACCATGCTGGGCCACCTGGACCATATAGCACAAGTTGAAATGAGACCAGGAACATTGACCAGATACCTTGCTGCTGGAACCCTATCAGATCTCATAAACCTGCAAGCCCAAATATTAACCCACAATATATTGGCAAGAACAGTAGCCAACACCACAAACATATGAACATCATAGGCCCATAGATAGACCACAGGCTGGCATGCTATACACCTGCAGACCACATGTTCTTTATGGTCCTCAGGTGATGGAAAACTATCTAGAACCACCCCTAGATCTCTTTCTTTATTGGATTTTTTTTTTTTTTAAAGATTTTTCACATAATTTGTAGGTTGTGTGTGGTCTATGTTCTCATATTCCACATTTCATAAAATGGCATTTATTCACATTAAATTCCATTTGCCAAGTGGTGCTCCATACACTTATTTTGTCCAGGTCATCTTGAAGGGCATGACAATCGTTCAAGTTTCTTATCCTCCCTATTATCTTGGCATCATCATCAAACATGTTCACATAATTCTGTATTCCATCTGGTAGATCGTTTATGTTGACAGTGAAGATTTCACTAAAAATATTAGCATCTTCATTATATGTTTAATACTAGCAGTGATCTTTACTTGTTCAGAACTGCCAAGGAGGCCATATCTTTGGCTAACAATACCATATATGGCCTGGGTGCCTCAGTCTTCTCAGAACAGATGACTCTTGCCATAGAGACTGCCAAGATGATCAAGGTAAGTTTCTTGTATTTTGTGCATTCCTTTACAAAGTGTATTTATTAGGTAGAGTTAGGCCTTTTTTCAATCTTTTACATGATCATATTTCTATGGTTCTCTTTTCTGGACGTATGGTCCCCTCATTAGTTTTCCAGGCTTTAGTGCTGGTATTGTTAAGCCTTAGAAAATCACACCATGTCTTTCAGACCCATCCTTACCTTGCAGTTTACTTCCAGTGGGAGCTAGACTTTTTAATATTTTTCACTTTACCATCATGCTTTTCTTGAAGCATATTATATAGTGTTTTGTTATGCTGTGCTTTAATCATGTGATGTAATATTAAATTAAAGTAAATAATTCATTTGTTCACAGGCAGGTACTGTGTGGATTAATTGCCACAATATGTTTGATGGTGCTGCTGGGTTTGGTGGATACAAGCAGAGTGGCTATGGCAGGGATGGAGGCAAAGAAGGTAACTGCTAATATGAGCAAAAAAATATATAATTAAACTATATTTAATATGCAAATTGCACTAGTATAACAAATGTGATTTTATCATTATTTCTTATTACCTGGTTCTTGCTGCAAATTGGCCTTTCCTAAATAGCTTCCAAAGTCTTGAAGGTTTTCAAAGGAATTCATGCAGCAACAGATCATTGAGTACAAAACTAGGTTGCTTGTTCACGGAAATCTCAGCAGTTAGCGCAGTTGGCTGACAACAGAGGCATTCCCGAAAGCAACAACTTAAAGAACAAGAGGACACAGATTCAAGCCAAGGAAATCAAAATGCCTGAGTATACCTGCTTAAGGTTAATTTAGTGTACATCATGAGGGAGGTTTTCCCTCACTTCACTGCTGGCTAGGCTGAGATGTCTCCAGTGCTGGCTAGGCTGAGATGTCTCCAGTGCTGGCTAGGCTGAGATGTCTCCAGTGCTGGCTAGGCTGAGATGTCTCCAGTGCTGGCTAGGCTGAGATGTCTCCAGTGCTGGCTAGGCTGAGATGTCTCCAGTGCTAGCTAGGCTGAGGTCTCTCCAGTGCTGGCTAGGCTGAGATGTCTCCAGTGCTAGCTAGGCTGAGGTCTCTCCAGTGCTGGCTAGGCTGAGATGTCTCCAGTGCTGGCTAGGCTGAGATGTCTCCAGTGCTGGCTAGGCTGAGATGTCTCCAGTGCTAGCTAGGCTGAGGTCTCTCCAGTGCTGGCTAGGCTGAGATGTCTCCAGTGCTAGCTAGGCTGAAGTCTCTCCAGTGCTGGCTAGGCTGAGATGTCTCCAGTGCTAGCTAGGCTGAGGTCTCTCCAGTGCTAGCTAGGCTGAGGTCTCTCCAGTGCTTAGTACAAAGCCTGACTGTTGCTAGCAGCAGTTTTAGGCATTTTGCAGGGATAGGTAATGTCCTGTACTGTACTTGCATAGTTATACGTACTTGCAAGGGATGAACTACAGCTCACCCCTTATTCAACTGGTGTATATCTGCAGGCTTCATCATATCATCAGTGGAGTCTACTTCCACTATTTTACTTTTTAGTGCATTCCAGCTGTTCACTATTCTGACCTTAATTTCTTTCTACTGTCTGTGGCTCATTTTCGAACCTACATTGTTTCCATCTTTCATAATCACTATTATGGTGAACATGATGATTGAACTATTATGATGAATATCATGATGAGTGAACTATTATGCTGATCATGGTGAGTGAACTATTATGCTGATCATGGTGAGTGAACTATTATGCTGATCATGGTGAGTGAACTATTATGGTGAAATAAAATCTATAATACTTTCAAAAATTGCCATGGAATTAAAAGTGCTCTCAGGCTATGGTCGGCCGAGCGGACAGCACGCTGGACTTGCGATCCTGTGGTCCTGGCGAGAAACAATGGGCAGAGTTTCTTTGACCCTATGCCCCTGTTACCTAGCAGTAAAATAGGTACCTGGGTGTTAGTCAGCTGTCACGGGCTGCTTCCTGGGGGTGGAGGCCTGGTCGAGGACCGGGCCACGGGGACACTAAAAAGCCCCGAAATCATCTCAAGATAATCTCAAGATAATGGTGCCCTTCAATGATAGCCTGGCAAGTGGGGGTTGAAAAGCTCCCCAGTGTGTTGAAGAGTGAGTGTTGATCTTGTCTGCCTGCCTATTTGAGTGATCTTGAGAAAGCATGACATTGCTCAAGAGAAAATAGAAGTGGCCTGAACTAAAAGGAGCTGCTCAACCACACTCTTAAGCTATATGTATTGTGTAGTGCTGGCATAATCTTTCCTAAACTAGTTGGGGTTTACACCAAAATAAATTAAAAATATCCCATCTGTTTTTTGGCACGTGCTTTTGTGATGTCAAAATTCTTGCTCCACAATGAGTGGTCACAGAAATGGATCCTTATGAAGGACACTGAAGTACATGGATGAAATTATGCATGATTTTATGAATATTGGATCTAATACTATCAAACATATTATAAATACCTTATATTATTTTCCACAAACCTTTGACAGGTCTCTTTGAGTATGTGAAACCTTCATGGCAAGGCCGCCTAAGTTTTGAGACTCCTGAACTAGACTGTGCCAAATTTGGTGCTTCTTACATGGCAGACCGGCCTTCAATCACTCCAGCCATTCCAGAGGTCTGATAATGTTTTTTCATAGTAATCAGTTAATTGTTATTTACTCTATTAACCCTTGCACTGCTCACCTATTTTCGGCAAAAACGTCTTGGTGCAATTGTCAAGGACATATTTTCGTTATTTTTACAAATGTTCAGGTAAATTTAATGTCAAAATGTTTCCAAAGTCAACTATTTCCATTTCAAAACACAAATAGTAATGAAAACATTAAAAAACATTAAAATATAGCCAAATTAAAAAACAAAGAGCACAACTCTCTGAGCGCCTAAAGGCGCTTTGCGCAGTGCAGTGGTTAAACTATTTGTGTTAAACAGATCAAAATCCATATTAAATCCAATAAAAACATGCACTAAATAAATGATACAAAGATAAATAAAAGTTCTCTTATGAATAAAGTTGTAGAAGTTTGGAACAAGGGAGAATGCAGTGGATACCCAAAACCATCACTAGTTTCAAAGCATTGTGTGAGAAAGTGTACTGTGAAGATGGGACACCACGAGCGTAGCTCTCATCCTGTAAGTTCACTTAAGTAATTACTGAAGAAACAGTGACAGCAGAGAAACATTTATTTGAAGAATGGAAAAATAAAAGAACCTTGGCTAATTTTTTAATGGATTTACTTGGAAAGGTTTGCTGTTTGGCACAAAATTGAATTTGTTCAAACTGGAAAAGGTTTTGTATATATGTTGCAAAGACAGTCTAAACTAACCGAACCTAAAATTCCTAGGCCTAATATACTACATGTGTGTGTGTGTGTGTGTGTGTGCTATACTAGGCCTAGGTATATTTGTTTACTGTGGGGGAGCCCCTTCGGCTCCCTAGAGCTATCGGACTGACATATGCTATCAGTCTGATAGCATATATCAGCCCCCTCTCCCATAAAACAAATTTCTTGTAACATTTGCAGTGGCTAAAGATATCTTATATACCTATAGATAGAAATATATTTATCTTAGGACAAATATAAATTAAATCATAGCTTTTCTAACAAACATGTTTCATTAAAAACTTTACAGATGGTTGGTATTGATAGAACACTGCCGCAGGTGGATAGAACATACAAGCTATATTATGGTGGAGCTCAAAAGCGTCCAGATGGTAACTACTGCCGCGTGATCAATGATGCCAACGATAGAGCTTTTGCCCTCGTTGGAGAGAGTAACAGGTAATCAATGAGGATTATTTTTGTGGTCATAAATCTGAAAAAATTTCAGACATCTGGGTTTTGTTCATATATACTGTACTTGTATGTTATATATGCAGTATATATACATTGGTTTTTGCCTATTAAAGGTGGGGGCCCAAGAGCTGGAGTTTTATTCTTTAGTAAACAGGTGAAATGAGTTGTAGGGGTAAGATAACTATCAGGAGAAAGCACCAAGCTATTACAACTGTATAGCACTTGGGCTGAAGGGGGTAATGAGAGTCAATTCCATTGACAGCATCATCACGCACATATACAGAATGACAAAGCAGTCAGGCTTGGAAATTGCTATGTTGCAGTTTGTAGTTTTTCAGAATGTTCATGTGGCCTGCATGTATCAGGGTTCCTTTCACTTACGGGAGAGTGCCACTGATTGCTGAACTGTTATTGTGATTATGATGAGTGAACTATTACAATATTGTGATCAAGAAATGAAAAACCCTGCACAAATACAACGTCACCAGGTGGAACAGAGCCAGCCTTTCTGTTTCGCTGCCTTTCACCGCTGCATTATGGTTAAAACAAGCTGCATGGTACCCTGTGCCCCTACCAGTGATGAAGGTACCTCCTACATGGAGGCAAACAGAAGCGCATGAAACACCCCAGTTGACTCCAAGGGCCTGCAAACACCGAGCAACAAAAGACCACGGTGGAGGTAGGTCCCAAGCGACTTATGAAAGATAACTCCAAGCCACAAGGGCAGTACTTACAGGGCACCAAGAGAAGAGAACCCGAGGTGCATGCAACCCGAGTACTGGTGAAACACTCCTGGCTCACACACCACCAACGGACAGGACAATACCACAAGGCACAACACTGAAACAAGTCTGGAGCCAGAGTTGCACGACTGCCAAGTCTCACATTAACCACAGAACTAAAGGTGTGGATAGCCGGTGCTGGGGTCAGGGGCTTCTCCTTCCCCCTCCCGGGGAGGGGGGAGCTGCTCAGACAGCGACGCGGTGATGGTTGTGACGTCATGCTCGTTTGATCGTTTTTTGTTTGGGTGAGTTCTGTCCAAAAGTTCAGCATTCAGTAGCAATATTTTAACCAGATAGGGTCTATTTTGGGGTACCTACCTTTCTGGGTGCCTGACCCAGTCGATGGCAGACATAAAATACTTCCAACCACACGGGAGTTTCTGTAGGTCATTAATCCTCGTGCCTCTCTGAGGGGGGCCAGGTTCTGACCTCGTGGTCCCCGGTAGGCCTAAGAACTCCATTTGCTTTGACTGATGCCAGGGTCGGAAGCCTTATGTTATCAATATCCTTCACATCCCAGTGCTGTAATCTGAGGAAAACTACCAGTGTATCCAAGAATTAATTTCATTACACTTAGTATGTTAAGTTTGTGACAAGTTGGCAGAGTAAATTGCAAGATAGTGTAGGGTTTGCGTATAACATTGGCAGTTTCCAAACTGTTTATGGTAAAGAAGATGGAACAACTAGAGCTTAGATATAATCTCATTACTACAGTTTGGTAATTGCAATTAGGTGCAGTAGTTACAATTACATACATTTACAAATGATTATTAACTATAGCTGTATAATCTTTGCATGTGTAAATTTTCCAGAAAGGATGTTCGCAATGCAGCTGAAGCAGCCAGCAAAGCTCAACCTGGCTGGGACAAGCGAACAGGCTTCAATCGATCTCAGATTCTCTTCTATTGGGCTGAAAACCTGGAACAACGACGTCAAGAGTTCATAGACCACTTGGTAGCATTGACAGACCAAAGCACAGAAGCAGCTTGCCTGGAGGTGGACAGTACAGTGGCTAGACTCTTTCATTGGGCATCTTTTTGTGACAAATATGGTGGGGCTGTTCAAGAAACTCAGATGTATGGCACTGTTCTGAAGATTCATGAAGCAGTGGGGATAATAGGGATAGCGTGTCCTGATAATGCTCCACTGCTAAGTTTTGTGTCGCTGGTTGCTGCAGCAGTTGCTCGTGGTAATGCAGTAATAGCAGTACCAAGTGAGAAATATCCAACTGTAGCACTCTCTCTTTACCAGGTGGGTTTTACACGACATTACACCTTATTTAAAGATCTCCAAAGATTATTTGTATACAACCTTAACTTTTTCCTGTCAGTTTACCTCATTTTCTATAAATATTCTTTTTACAAATTGCAATATCTCCTTACTTCCCTGTTCTATTATATGGTTTATATTTATAGTTACTAAGTTCAGGCTTTCCATCTTGACCTGGGTAGGGGAGTGCTGTCGACTGGTGGGGTACACTGTGGTTGGCACTGCCAGCTCTTCAGCTAAAGACGGCACACCGATGCTTCTCTCAAACTTCTCGTTTGCTGTCGTGAGGTCTTGGAGGGGGGGGTGGGGGTATTTTTAGCTTTTTCATTTGCTGGCACTTTGTTCACTTAGGGAAGTTCTGCCTTTCGTCTTACTAGGCTAGCCTGGGGTGTGTGCAGTAGAACTCCTCTGTTACCCCTGGGGGCTTTCCTGCAGTTTACTGATAGGGTTTACCAGCGTAGTTGGACCCAGTGATTGGGCCTCCTGTAGGGCTCGTTCACCCTACAAACCCTAGAAAACCCCTATGGGCTTGGTTGTACAATGGACACCTCTTCTGAGCCCACTCTCACCCTGAGCGAATTTGATGGTTATTCGTCCCCCCTGCCTCAGGGTGACAATCATCCATTCTGCCTCCGCCATGCTACTTATTGGGTTGGTGACACCTATGACCCAGAATCTTGTGGAACTTGTTCTCTGCTTGTGCCCCAAATCACCCATTCCTCATTGTGAGGTGATGGGTATTCCTTTCATCACAAACTACACACACAACTCTTAGCTCCCAGCTAGGTGCCAGAATGTGAGGTTACTTTATGAAGGAGGCAACCCAACCCTTTAGGCGAGAGCAAACGCTGAGGTCCAACGACACAAACCTCCCGTCACTAGGTCGCTAGTTCCTCAACTGAACAAATCAGTCTAAAGGGTAACTAATGGGTCCTCACACCAAATTTAGTATTTGAAGCTATGGGGCTTGATCCCTTAGCTTAACCCAGTTTATAACAAGAACACGGATGTTAATGAAGCAGAGCAAAATAACAGGGCAGTACACATAAAATGTGTTGACGGAAAGACACTTGCAACAAAGCAAAATTTATTCAACAAACTTATTTACTAAATACACGGTAATTCATGTTGCGTTGTGTTAATTCCAGAGTGTCACTGCAACAGCTAAACAGTGACTTTTTCACAATACTTTCTTTTGCCTTTGCTGCTGGTAAAAAATTTAATTGACACATTTTCCTATAGTTTGAAGTAACATGGTGGTAGGATGCTTGTTTATTTTAAAAGAAATAACAAGGAATGTTAGTGAAAAGCCTTTGGATGTCTGCTCCAATGACAATAATAAAGCTTTGTTGGCAGGTGAGGGAAGCATGTCCTCTCATCACTGAGAGGCTGGGGCTGTGTCAAGCCTAAGATGAAGACTCAGCATTGTAATGTAGGAAGCGTTCAAACTGGTGTTGGTGCCTGTACATCATCACTGAAGTTGTATTTTGCAGTGTTAATTGGACTCTTCCTACATACTGTTTATAGTACAATTTATTTTTTTGTTGTATATTTCAATTATAAATACACTTTCAATAATTTTTCTGATTCTCACAGGTTCTAGAAACTTCAGATCTTCCTGGAGGAGTAATCAACATTCTAACAGGTTCTCGAGACCACATTACCAAATACTTGTCGGAGCATCAAGATCTCCAGGCAATGTGGTTAGTTTCTCACTATAATTTCATTCTGTTTTAACAGATTTTGAGCATTATGTACAATGTGTTCCAATCATCCCTCTGGTGATGACAGATCACCTGCATTTAGTCATACCAACCTCACTCCATTCATCTGCTCATCTTTCAACCCATGTGTTTTTCAGGATGGGCCTCTCATTTAGCTCCACAAGCTAAATGGTGGTTTAGCCATCATCTCCCGGAACTCTATCCTGTCTGTCTCCCTCATTCACCTGGTTACTGCATTGATGGCATGCTTTCTCTGCCAGGGCCCATCCTGTGCCTCACACTTTCTGCTGATTGGTGTGGACTATCCCTGCCAACGTTAGTTCTGCCGTGGCCATTGGTTCGTTATTGTTCTATTCCGCTTCACGATTGTGTTTTTATGCCATTCACGTTGTGTGTGTGTGTTCTAGCTGTGTATCTCCAACTGTGTGCCAGGGTTACCTTCCTTGGTAGTTGGTTTGCATTTTCCTCATTCCACCTGATATCTGTTCTATATAGTTCATATTCCTCTGGAACAAGTTGACTCCTCTTGAGTTGCCTCATTTCCGGGTAGCACATTGGACCTGTTCTCTAGTAGGAGCCTCGTTTACCTGTAGGTTTACTTGCAGAAGACTTTGTGTTCTACAACCTTAGCCTTTCCATGGAGTCAGGCTTGTCTTGTGATAACTAGACCTAATAGGCTGTTGCCTGGAGCAGCCACCAGGCTTGCCTATCCATTTCATTGGTTAGTCTGCTGTGTTCTTGTGTTATGTTCACAACTGGCCTTCCTTTTACCGAGTGTGCGCTTGGGTCACTTACATGATTCTTCTCCATTTCTGCAAATGCCTTCTTCGCTTGGTGTTTACGGTTAGGGTTCACTAAGCCTAGATGCTGCTCTCATGCCTTCCTGGTTTCCCTCTTCCCACTCTTGTTTTCTGGATGGCTGTCTAAATAGCTCCACACACATCATGTCACAACTGGTGATGTGATGTGATTTATGAGTCATTAAAAGCCTACCAGAGACCAGAATCCAAAACCTGGTCCCCTGATAGAGGCACAGAGAACAGGGTATGCTAAGTCATCCTAACTGAGAAATAAGCCATTAGAGAGGCTGAACAAGATAAAATTTATAACAGCAAGGCAAAACTGAGCAATTCTGAAAATAAGAGAGACAATAGTTAGCAGGCGATGAGTCACAATAACGTGCCTGAAGTATGTTGATCAGACCACACACTAGAAGGTGAAGGGACGACGACGTTTCTGTCCGTCCTGAACCATTCTCAAGTCGATTGTCTTGAGAATGGTCCAGGACGGACCGAAACATCGTCGTCCCTTCACCTTCTAGCGTGTGGTCTGGTCAACACAGTAGTTAGGTTGTTAATCCTCCGGTTACCCCTCCCCATCACCAGGTAGCATCACCAGGAGCCAACAGACAGATCATGGCAATCTATCAGTCATACGCCTGGTGCTGTAGTGTTAGCAGTGCTCTTCATGTTACCATTTTTTTTTCCCCAGAGAAGTGTTTGCCATCCTTTGGGCTCTGTCTTGCCGGGACTATTTGTTTGCATTTCTTCCAATTCAGGAATTTGCTTCACTAGTGTGTATTTCTGTGCTTCACTTATATGAACCTTGATTCACTGTTTACCTAGAACTAAATGGGCTTGGGGGATGACTTCCCTAGGTGCTTGCTGATGTTGCCTCTACCTTGTCAGGGTTACCTTCCCTGGTGGTCTCAGCAGTCCGACCCTGAGGGTGTCGGCTTCCTGTTTGAGGGTGCTTCAAGGAACAGTCCATACAAATAAATATCAGCGAAACTACTGAGGTGTGTTGTCACGAGACTGAGCAGCTCATGGTGGCACTGCCACCTTGCAGTAGTCGGCTGTAACTAGAGGGGTTCCAACTGACCACTTAGTGGAGTATTTGAGGAGTTGTTTGCTGCTTCACTTCTTGCTTCTCTGTGAACTATGGCAGTTGTCTGTCTTCCCTTACTTTTTAGTTTCCTTGGTAATTACCTAAATGTAGTTACAGGATAAGAGCCATTCTTGTGGTGTCCTGTCTTCCCAGCAGTGTTTGTCTTTGGTCTCCACCACCTTCTCACTTGTTCCAACCATCTACCACACTCTTTGTAAAAATGAATTTTCTATTTTTTTTTGCAGCTTTGTTTAGTTTAAATCTAAGCCCTCTTATTCTTGAAGTTCCAGGTCTCAAGAATTGGTCTTCTTCAACTTTTGTCGATTCCTGTTACTATTTTGTACATAGTGATATCACCACTTTTTCTTCTATTGTTTTGCTTTGGCATCTTTAATGCCTCTGACATCTCCTCTTAACTCATGTCTTTCAGTTCTGGAAGCCATTTAGTTACATGTATCCATTGGTTTGGATAATCGTAACAATCTCCTGCTCCTTACTCCTCTGGGTGGACCAATTGTGACTGTGGTGTCCAAGTAAAATCTGTTTGCAATTAGAGAATAAGTTGACATCGGCTTTCTAACATTTCACATGAGGGCATTATAATAAATATGTAATCACAACTCTGGGAGAGAGGGTGATGGCGAGTGAATTATGATTGCAGTATACTGTAGTACTAAAGTTTGAAATTAACAAATACTATACACCCATTATAGGTTTCTAGATAACATTTTATAAGTACAGTAAAAGCTATAGTTTCATTTTGTATTTACCATTTTAAAAAATGACACAGTACCATACCTGTACCTGTATTACAAATTTTATATACTTTTAACAGGTACTTTGGAAGCTTAGAAGGATCCAAGTTTGTGGAGTATGCTTCAGCAGTTAATGTCAAACGCACCTGGGTGAACTACGGCTTGAACCGTGACTGGTTTGACCCCCACCAAGGACAGGGTGAAGAGTTCCTATATCATGCTACACAGGCTAAGAATATCTGGTTAACCATGGGAGATATATTTGCTAACTGAAGCAGGCAAATCTGGGATGTAAACCTCATTACCTGTGCCATTGTTATAGTAATAGCATAGTAACCATGTCCATAAACAGTGAGAATGCTGTCTACGTAATATTGCATGACAAAATCCTCAAACACAGCGGGTCCAGCTCGAGTATCTCCACTAGTATTTGTGGTGCACAGGTGCCGACCACATCGCTGAGGGACCGGAACATGGTAGAGCTTGGTGCAGTCTCAGGTAGGTCAAAGCATGCATAACTTGGCAGATAATAATTATATTGTTTTGTACTCTAGTGTTTCCATTATTTAATTTTTACATGTAGCATAACTAGTATCAGTGATTTTGGGAAATTATATAAAGTGGTTAATTTGGCATTCATCAAAATAGTTTCTGTAAATATTTAAGATAAATTCTGTAGTGCTGTATGTTGAACCAAGACGTATCAAAATAGTCATTGGGTTTAGTTGATCAAAACAAAATATTTTTTTTTTTTTTTTTTTTAAGTACAGTGGCACCTTTGTTTATGAATTTAATCCGTTCCCAGAGACAGCTCATAACCCGAAACGAATTTTCCCATAAGAAATAATATAAATTTAATTAATCCGTTCTGCACTCTCAAAAATATTAACCTCAAAATACATTTCATACATAATACACACAAAAATTTAGTACTATAGTATGTACAAGTTATAGCTTACCTTTATTGACGACTCTTGTTGGCATATGGAAGATGAAGTGGGGAGGGGGTGGGGGGTGTTAGTGGCTGGATGAGGAATCCCCCTCCATTATAAAATCAGGCAGTGATAACGTCTCTGGGGATACACTCTCTCCTATGTTTTGCAGGAGTACCACTAGGACCTGATTGTGGCTCACTGCTTGAATTTCTAAGAACCTTTCCATAGACTTGTTTTTTCTCTATGGTCATCTTCACATGTGTTTTCTTAGGTTGAACCTTAGCACTGACTTTCTTGGGACCCATGGCATGGTATATAATAATTACTTTTATGTTTAGAAACAAAAAAAACTGAAAAACAATTAAATTCTTTACAAAGAATTCAAGCGCGGTCATCACAACGTGGGAGGCAGGGTCGCTCGTTGCACTAGGAACCACGCGCTCAGTCGACCCATACGTATATCAACAAACACACAGCTCAAGGCAAAGCTCATAAACTGAATCAAATTTAAAAAGAAATTTAGCTCATAACTGAAATTTTTTTGTAAATATGGGCATTCGTAAGCCGAGGTTCCACTGTACTTATTTTGTTATTTGATTTCAGTAGTTTTGATTGCATGTTTATTAAAAATGCATGATAATGAAATATGTGTAGAGCATTCAGGCAATTTGTTCAAAGTATTATAGTATATTGCACATATTTTGAAATGGCATCAAAAGATTTATGATGCTGGTACAAATTTTGTCAAAGAGCTCCTATTATAGTGTACAATATGAAGTTCAAGCTGGATATGCTGTCTGTACAATATAATGTTACTTACCCATAGAGAATCAAAAACCAAAGTTGGCTTTCATTTTATAACCAGAGGATGCTGTGCTTATCTTTTGCAAGGGATTTGTATCTTGTCTGTATCTGGATATTTCTTTTATAATTTTCAGTACTTTGGGGGGGGGGGAGTGAGGTAAGTTTGAGGGCTTTCATAATTAATGAATATTAAGTGACACTACACTAAGTTTAGCACTATTCTCTCAGAGTAGAAGAAAGATATTTCTGTGGTGAGCCCCAAAGGCTTCCCACAGCTATCCGAACTGATATGTGCTGTATTAGTTTGGGGTCATCAATCGCAGGAGTTCTTATGCCTACCGAGATTTCGTACCATTCAAAACGTGCGTGAGGTTGGTTGGTTATGAAATGGACTCCTGGGACCTCTAGTTACAGGCAGCCATCTTGGAAGAAATTTCCAGAATGCCCTAAGGCTGCTGAGTGGATCAATTCCAACTGAGCAACCACGGGTGATGCATGCACCTCTGGTTCCCAATCCCTGTCCGATGTGGTGTTGAAAGATCGCTCTCTGTCGGTGAAATTCAGACCTAATTGTTTGAAGAACATAAAGGTCATGATATTGATGAAGCTAGGTATAATAAGGACCTAACACAAGAGTTGGATGCAAGTGATACAACACCAATGAAGACATTACAGCAAGCATATCTAGTAGTAGCCTGCGCAATGGTAGAAGTTTCTCCCCACTCGAGCATCCGAGAGAACCCATGCCACGCCCCCAACGAAAAAAATGGGTCTGCCAGCCAGGAAAACTCTGGAACCTCCAAATGCACCCAATACAGGAAAGGAGAACTGAACTCAAATAAGGACAGATCCATCATGGAGGCAGAATCCGGGTCTTGCATGAGGTACACAGTATTTTAACATGTGAGGTCTGTTTTGTTATGCCTACCTTTCTGGGTGCCTAACCCTGGTCGATGGCAGTTAAGGAAAACCCCTAACCACTTGGGGGCTCGTAGTCCCTGATAGGCTGAAATCCATAGATTAATGCCCTGGTCTAATGATTAACCCAATAGCTCCAGGGAGCCAAAGGGGTGTGCCACTGAAAAATTATTCTTGAAGTCTTTTTATTCTGGCAATATTTCTTTATCTCCTTTGAGGGTAGTGAACAGCTGTGGACCCCTCATATGCATAGTATTCTCTGATTGTGCTTATGGTACCTCTACTCTTCAGTGGATCTATTCTGCATTTCCTGCTTGATGGAGTTCTGAGAGTTCTTCTTCTCCCCAAGCCCCCCCTCCCCGCTCAGCTCGTTGTCGCCGTGTGGGGGCTTCGTGGGCGGCTGCTGGAGTGTGATGCTCCTTAGGACAGTCCTCTGTCCTTTTCTAGCCTTGTGCTCCTGCTGCCGTCCTCTCCAATTCTGCTGGGCACCTTTTCCTTTTCCTTCTGTTTCGTTTTTCTCCCCCCTCTTCTCCTATCTGCTTGCCGTTTCCTGCCGACCTTTTGCTCGTTCTGGTTCTTCCATGGACTTCTTCTATTTTGACGCCCGGGTGCTTGAGGAGGCATACTCATGCACCCGTAGAACTGCAGTACCCGACGTCGAGAGCGAGGGGAACCTTTTATTGTCAATCCCCACTTCGTCACTGAACCCGATCTTGACGGACTGTCGGTTTCTTAAGGTGGCGTTTGTGGGGCGTATACTCACGACGCACCCCTAGGAGGCCCCGACAAGATCGGCGATAGCTTCTTGTTGGGTGTCCTGCCTCTAATTGTGGCTCCATGGTGGGTGTGGGGGCACATTCGTGAGTGAATTCTTAATTTCGTCAAGATGATAACCCCTGTTTCGGCTGCTTCTGGCTTACCTTTTCAGGCTCGTGGGGTGGGCGACCAAGCCCCCGAGTCGGTCCGTATTGGAAGACCGGGCTCTGTAGCCTCCACTGCATTGGGCCCCGACCTTGCTCCTCCTTTGGCCTCTCTGACTCCTTCCCCTGGCTCCCCTCACTCCTCTGTGGTTGGGTCGAGCCCCAAGCCCCCAGTGGTGACTACCTCGTCCCCTGGCGCGGCTCCTTCTCTAGTTGTAACTACTGCGCCTTTTAACCCCTCTCTCTCTGGGGGTTCTCACCGCCGTCCTCGTCACGGCCGCCCTCGCTCGATTCCTTCCAGTTCTGCTACCTATCAAGCCTTGTTTGGTCCCGCTTCGTGGGCCAAATATTTTGATCTCCTCCCTCTTGATTCTGCGCCTCCTGACGATTTCTCCCTTCATCGACATCTCATTGATTCCGTGGATGCCTCCATTACTTTCAACCCCACTCGTCTCGGTACACGTGTCGTTGCTGCTCCTTCTCAGGATGCTGCTTCCCGCTTGGCTGCCTTATCCTGCCTTGGCGAGACCCCCGTTCGGGTCTCGAAGAACGCTCAATTGAATGCCAGTGTTGGCACTATTTTGCTCCCGCCCCATGTTGCAACCGGTGTTCGGGACCTGCGCGACTGCCACGACGATATTCGCCATATCCTCGCTGCCCAGGGCCATTCTATTCTCCAGGTGGACACGTTTACTCGTCCCCCTCGTGGTAGTCGCCGTCAACCCCTCCGGGTTGTGAAGATTACCTTTGATGGTAGGACCCTTCCACCCTCTGTCATTCTTGCTGGTGCCAGGTGCTCTGTCCAGGAGTACATTCCTTCTCCTCGGCTCTGCAACAAATGCTGGAGGTTTGGGCATGGTGCCCTCCGCTGCTCCGGGACTGTCTCTCTCTGTCCTTTGTGTGGTGGCGAAGGTCACTCTAAGTCGGAGTGCACTTCTCCCCAGGCTCGTTGCCTCAACTGCGGTGAGGCCCATCCTACCTTCTCCCGTGCGTGTGTCCATTACAAGCTTGAGGCAGCCGTCCTCAACCTGAAGCACCGGGAGCGTTTATCTTTTCCTGAGGCGAGGCGCCAGGTTCGCCGGCTCCTGCCTTATGCTAATATCTCTTATGCTCGCGTGTTGCGCTCTTCCTCTCCTCGTCCTTCCCGCCTTCCTCAGACTCACAACCGTTTCCGGGCCTTGGACCCTGATGCGCCCACTGCCCCCTCCTCTGTTCCTTTGTGTTCTCTCCCGAAGGATCCTCCTCCTGGTCCTCTGTCTGGGGTTCCCCTTCCTTCTACCCGGTCTGTCGTGTCTTCTGTGTCTTCTTCCTCGTCCCCCTCCGATCCTCCTTCCCATCCTCTTCCTCCATCTATTGGCTCTCCCCACCGCCTGTCGGTGCGGGCGGATGTCCATCGCTCTCCTAACGGCCGTCGTGTGTGCTCTCGTTCGGCTTCTCCTGTTGAGACACTGGAATCCGTTGCCCGGTACGTAGTTGCTGGGACACCGGTCTCTTTAAGTCAGAAGCGTAAGCCTGGCTCCTCTCCTTCCTCTTCCCCGGCGGGTAAGAAGGCTTCGCTTTCTTCCTCAGCTCCTCCTTCTGGCTCTGTTGCTCCTTCCCCTCCCGTTTCAGTGCTTGCGCCCCCTGTTCCTGCTATGGAGGTTTCTTTGGCCCCTGCTTCCCTTTCGGTTGCTGCTCTTGCTGGGGTGCGCTCCCCTCTTTCTACTCCCCCTCCTCCTGCTGCTGTCCTTGACGGCTCCTCTCCGTTGTCTCCTCCTCTTCCTCCTCCTCCTCCAGACCCTGCCCGCCCACCTCTGCTCTGTTCTCCCGTTTCCTTCCCTCCGTCTTTGCTCAGTTTACCCATGCCCCCTAACCCTGACTTTGCTGACCCTGATCCCGACCCTGATATTCTTTAACGTGCTCTGTTGGTCTTTCGCCTTTGTTTCTTCCTTGTTCTCTGTTTTTGTCCTTTCTCTTCTCGTCGTTGTCCATTCTTCAATGGAACGTTCGAGGTTATTACGCCAATTTCCTCGAACTCCAACTTCTGATTTCGCGGTTTTCGCCCCTTTGTGTCTGTCTCCAGGAGCCAATGCTTGGTGCTCGTCCTGGTCGTTTTCGTGGCTATTCCTTTCTCTCCCCCCCCCCCCAGCCATTGCTGGGGCTTCTAATTCTTCTGCTCTTTTGATTCGGGCTGATGTTCCCTTTGTTCCTTTACTTTTTCCTTCGCCTCTCCATTGTTCTGCTGCTCGTATCTTTGTGGGGAAATGGTACACAGTTTGTTCCATTTATCTCCCCCCGAGTGTCCCGCTCTCTCTTCCTGATTTGAAACACCTCCTGGACTCCTTGCCGGAGCCTGTGCTCCTGCTGGGTGACTTCAATTGTCGTCATTCTCTTTGGGGTGACGTTCTGACGAATACCCGGGGTCGCCTCCTTGAGCCGTTTCTCCTCTCTTCTTCCCTGTCTCTTCTGAATTCTGGTGAGCCCACTCATTTGGACTCTCGGACTCGCACCCTTTCTTGTCTTGATCTTTCTCTCTGCTCTTCTTCTCTTTACTTAGATTTCACGTGGCAGGTTCTTGATGACCTCCATGGAAGTGATCATTTCCCCATCCTTGTTTCCTTTTTCTCTTTTCGCCCTTCCCTCTCTTTCCCTAGGTGGCAGTTTGCTAAGGCAGACTGGACCCTATTTACCCTCAGTGCTGCTCTCCCTGACCTCTCCCTTCTGCCTCTCTCTCGCGCTCTCCTCCTTTTTCATGACACTGTCTTCAACGCTGCCCTCCGCTCTATTCCTCGCTCTTCCTCTCGGGGTCCACGGAAGTGCGTTCCCTGGTGGAATGCGGACTGTGCTCGGGCTGTCCGCTGTAAGCGTGCAGCCTGGAAGAGGCACCGCCGTAGGCAGACAACCGATTCTTTTCTTTTCTTTCGGAAAGCGAGTGCGGTGGCCCGTAGGGCCATCCGTACGGCTAAACGTGAATGTTGGGCATCTTATGTCTCAACAATTACGTCCGAGACCCCTCTGGCCCGGATCTGGAAGCGTATCCGCAAGATAGCGGGTAAGTTCGTTCCCGATGTTTCACCGGTCCTTCACCTCCATGATACTCTTGTGGCGGACCCGTTGCAGGTCGCTTCCGAACTGGGTTCCCATTTTTCTTCTGTTAGCTCTGGTCTTCATCTTCCCCAATCTTTCCTTCTTCGTAAACCTGTCCTTGAGTCTCGTCCTTT